GTATGATCCTTATTGGATTAGTTATTTTGAAAATAACTAATCCAATAAATTTATGTAATTATAGTATGATCCTTATTGGATTAGTTATTTTGAAAAACAATGTATTATGATTATGGATGTATATGTATGAATATATTCGACACATCTATATATATTCATTAACGCATGATCAGTTTTAAAGTTCATTGTCATAAAGAAATAATATTGTTAAAAAAAATTATTCCCATTTTTTAGAAATTAAATAAATTAGAAGAAAAAAAATGACGTTACAGATGGCGAATCCGATTTGAGTACAAATCCTTTTGAAGATGGAGAGAATGATGTGAATATGACCTATGATAAGGGCTAGAGTAAGGGAAGCAAATGAAGTTCTTCAACAAGTATTGTTGGTTGACCAAATTGTGTTTTGGATTAATCAATTAATGGGCTTTAGTTTAGTTTTATTGCAAGTTGTAATAAGGGCCCAATTGGAAATTTAGTTATCAGTCTTTGGGAGACCAAGAGGGTGCATAGCTGATTGACTTTTGGATGCCAAAATTTCAGTTACAATCAATCATTAAGTAGTTTCAATTCCTAGGTTAATAAATCATTATTAGCATTTATTTTCCTTTAATGAATATTTGTAACTCTGATGGCAAAACTTCTTTATAAGCTGAACCATTTTTATCAAAAATAACAAGTTGAGTTTTATTTTTAAAAATATTAGAGTTTATCTCTTTTATCTTAGTGAGAGTGATTCTCCTAAGTTCTTGAGTGATTTAAGAACACTTGGCTGTATCAAAGGACTTTCACATCCTTTGTGAGTTACCTTCCTTGGAAAGAGTGATTCTTTCCTTCCACCTTATCACTAAATTCATAAATTTAACCTTAAAGATCCTAAATCACCCTTTGTGATTCATCTCATGCTAGCACTAAAATTGATTAAAATCAATTATGTCCATTCCTATGGTATATATGTGAAAGTGCTAAATACTGCATCATTGAGAGGTTAAACTTTGTAATTAAAAGTCTATGTGGTGTACGAATTTTAGTTTAAACAAATTTTTTAACGATTTCATATCTCTTACAGGTGGTGTATGATTTGCAGCATACACTTGATGAAGTCACCTATATGAGTGTTGAGTGAGGCCGCTTGTATGATATCTTTGCAAGATTTTTAGAGCACTCATGAATACTAAGCACGCGCATAGCCTAGTAAGCGCAACATAACAATAACAACAAGAATTGTGGGAGTGTATTGTTAAACCGCTAACACACACTAAGTGTTTTGGTTCATATAACTTGCTACACCAACTACACTGTGTTAAGTTTTTCAATCTAAGACTGGTTCATATAGTTTGCTATACCAGCTCTGATGCATTACATCTTATATGAGACCCATAATTTTCTTCTTTTATTCTTTATCTTTTTTGTTTTACAATATGTGGGGGAACTGTACTAAAATAAGGGTATTGCAAAACAGAGAATGTTACAAAGAACATTACATGGAATGTTACATGGAACGTTACATAGAACGTTACAGAGAACGTTACCGAGAACGTTACCGAGAACATTATGTTAACGTTATACCGAGAACATTACATTAATGTTATACAGAATACAGAGAACGTTACATTAACGTTATACAGAGAACGTTACGTTAATGTTATACAGAGAACATTATGTTAACGTTATACAGAGAACGTTACGTTAATGTTATACAGAAAATGTTGCATTAACGTTGCATAGAACGTTACGTTAACGTTACAGAGAACGTTACGTTAATGTTACAGAGAACGTTACGTTAATGTTACGTTAATGTTACAGAGAATGTTAACGTTACAGAGAACGTTAACGTTACAGAGAACGTTAACGTTACAGAGAATGTTAACGTTACAGAGAACGTTACGTTAATGTTACAAAGAACGTTAACGTTACAGAGAATGTTAAAGTTATAAAGAACAGAACGTTAACGTTACAAAGAACATTAACGTTACAAAGAACGTTAACGTTACAAAGAACATTAACGTTACAAAGAACGTTACTACAAAGAACGTTACTACTGAGAACGTTACTACTGAGAACGTTACTAAAAAGTTAGGATATTAGGTCCAATCTACACCTATAAATAGAGACCGGTCTACACTCTTCCAGATATACCTCTCTCATCTTCTCTTCTCTGTTTTACTATTATCCTGGGTTTATTTACTCCTTTAAGAGTTTCTTGCTAGTTTTTGAGATCCTCGAAAATTTCAAAAAGTTCCTGTTGTATCCGGGGGACTTAAGCAATACACCGCTGATAAGTCCTTAAGAATAGTATTTATACACGCCTCAGGAATAAAGTTTGTTTGTGTTTCTATCAGCTTTTACGACAAACACATGGTTCAGTTTTCAAGTTGAAATTTTGCATGTGAGTCCCCACCAACAGACAGCAATTCGTGTAATGTATTATGACTTGCTAACCAATTGCTACAAAATAGGCGTTTCCTTTCTATACTTTCATTAGCTAATCAGTCTAAGTTGAATAGTTATACTTTCCTTACGTAACCGGTCTAAGTTGTTAATAAAATCGATCTTAAAGTCTATGCTAAACTTCTACCAATTAGTACCTCAAAAAGATAAAAGTTAGCACCTCCATGATTCAAGTGCTCACTAGCAATCTTACAAAGCTCACGGAAAGCCTTTCATGCTCCATGATAACAGGTACTCTTTAAGTTCATAGTTGGACACTGGTTGCTGCTTCAAATTGAGGGATGGAAAAAAAATTCTATGTTACCTATGCAGGTGCATTTGACAAACTAGTCATTTCTCCTATCTGAAAGACAGCAAAACTATCTTGGATCTCCACCATATTCTGAGGCAGGCACGCATAGAGTTCACTTATCCCCATCCAAAACTTCTGTAACGGGTTGACATGATTCTAAACATGCAATTCCATTTCAACATATTCAAGAGAAACTCTGATGTCTAATAATTTTTGAAGTACATCTCACAATGCATATAGTTTTTTTACCAATAATCCCCACAGGAGCATGAGCCTTCACTGAAATGATGGAACCTGTTATTATCTCTAATAATAATATCTCTCTTTGTAAGTTTTGAAACAAGTTTCATTGCCTCATGACAATCACCACATACACGAAGATTTTTAACAACACGAATCACATCTTTGGCACTGGTGCTGATCAGTGCAAATGCAACAGCTAACTTCTCACTATGACAGCCAAGGAAATACTCCTTCTCCTCCTCTTCTACATCATAGAGCACAAACTCCATCGTCGGATTATATCCAGCTTCTCTCAAGTCCTTAAATAAACTTTCAAGTTTTTCATATATCTGGAGCGTTAGAGGATGGGAAGTGTCCCCTACACGGAATTCATGAACAACCCCATCCACTTCAACCCAACTACACCCGGGTAACTTCTGCATCCCTTTCTGACTCAAACTTGACCTGATTTTTTCTGCTTCATCCCATCGACAGCTTGCTGAATATATATTCGATAAGAGAACATAATGTCCTGAATTCCACGGTTCTAAATCAATGAGCTGCTTCAACACATGTTCAGCCAATTGGGTATCCTTATGTAACCTACATCCTCCCAACAGTGCTCCCCAAATAATAGCATTGGCCTTCATCGGCATACTCTTGATTAAATCTCGCGCTTCAACCAACAAACCTGCACGAGCCAAAAGATCCACCATGCATCCATAATGCTCTATAGTAGGAGTTACAGCAAAAACACAACTCATGCGACTAAAATAACGCCGACCATCATCAACCAAACCAGCATGAGTACACCCACAAAGCAAACCAACAAAAGTGTTCCCATCCGGCTGCATTCCAACCTTTCCCATTTGACTAAACACCCCAAAGGCAGCCCCAACATGTCCACACATAGCCAGCCCAGAAATAACAACGTTGAACACCACACAATCCTTCCTCCTCATCCTCTTAAAAACCTCCACCGCATGCGCCACACTTCCACATTTCGCATAAAAAGTCAATCAATGCAGTACCCAACACAGGATTACACAAAAACTCATCACCATCCACCAAATCTCTAGCCCAATTCCCTAACTCCAGCTCCCCCAGCCTCGCACATGCAGAAAGAAACCCCACCATGGCATAACAATCTGGCTTAACATTCTCCCTCTGCATCTCAATAAACACCTCAAGTGCCTCCTTCGGCATCCCATTGGCAGCATACCCCTGAATCAAGGCACTCCAACACACAACATCCCTCTCCACCATCCCATCAAACACTCTTCGTGCCTCCTCCATGCTTCCGCACTTCGTGTACATATCAACCAACGAGGTCGCCACAAACAGATTCCCACACAACTCACTCTCCCTCATGTATCCATCAATCCACCGTCCACTAGCCAAGTCCCCCACCTTCGAACACGCATACAAAACCCGAACCAACGTGAAATTATCCGGCCTCAAACCCATCTCCAACAACCCTCTAAACAACCCAACATCCTCCTCACAATAACCAAACTCAACATACCCACAAATGATGGCAGTCCAGGACACAACATTCTTGTCAGGAATTTCATCAAACACCTGGCGCGCGTGACTTAGAAACCCGTTTTTGGAAAAGAAACAAATGAGACCGGTGTTAACAAACACGTCACTTTTGAAGCCGATTTTGATAACGAGAGAGTGAAGGGTGAGGCCCAGGTGGGTGTTTTTAAGCCTGGCACAGGCTTTGAGGACGAAGGGGAATGTGAAGTTGTTAGGAGCGAAGGTGCTGCGCTGGGCATGGAAGCGTAGAGGGAAACGGCGTCGTGAAAGTCTTCGTTGGAGATGAGGCCGCGAATGAGGGTGTTGTAGAGGAAGATGTTGGGGTGGGGGGTTTGGGCGAAAACGACTGTGGCGTATTGCGTGGCGCGGAGGTTGAGGGAAGAGCGCAAGAGGGTGTTGACGAGGAAGGTGTCGTGGTGGAGACCAAGACGGAGGAGGTGACAGTGGCATTGCTTCACTTGGTGCAACGACCGAAAGCGAGAAGCCAAACATACTTCTTCAACTCCGAGGCCATGCTCACGTGCAATTCTGCATGCATTCGTCCACTTTTGACACTCTCAATTTGGTCTCTAAATGATAGTCCTCAAAAGTTTCACACCCTCGTTCCTCTTTTGCGTGATGCTCCACATAGATGTCAAATTGAAAAAAGTAAGTTTTAAGCGTAACATATTATCAACTTCAAATAGATGATATGTGTATCTTCTTACTTTTACCATGTTTCCTCACTCGTCCTCTTCTTCCATGACAATTCACTTGATCCAACACATTGTTAATGTTTTGTCACAAGTACTTATAATTTTGTCTTTTTTTCACTCAACCAACGTGACATTGTGAAAAGTTTGCTTGGATAATACTCAAAGAATGAAAATGGTGACTTAATTAATCTTATATATCTATTAGGCGTCACTTCACAACGGAAAAAGAAAACAATGATATCATTGCAAATACGTTTTGGAGATAAAATGCTAAAGCATGTGGACATTTCATATGTATTGAAATTAATTAGAGATGAATTGGAAGCTGACTTTGTTCCATTTCTTGGGACAAAATGAAAAATCTCTATTTTCAGTTTTTTGCCCCAACGTGAGCAAGAAAATCCTATAAAGCGCATCCACTCAGAAGCGACTTCTTCAAGTACCCAAACTGTGACCATGAAGGAGGTGATAGCCCCAAAGGTCCTTGACACCCAATACTTTGTTAATAACGGATTTGACTTCATTAGAGTTTTGAAGGATGTAGAGTTGAATGCCTTCTTGGAAATCAATAAAGCAGTCTATCCACATCTTATTCGAGAATTGTACAGTAACTTAAGTCTCGAAGAAGAAGTTCTAACGTCAGAAGTGGCGGGGATTGAGATTCAAATCGACCAAACTCTCTGGACAGAGCTGACAAGTCTACCTTGTGATGGTCTGATATTGATTGGTGAACGACCTAGTAAAGAGTGGGTTATGTCCACAAAATACGACCATGTGGAGGCGAAGGCATTGTTAAATCGTGTAAGCCTAACGGCCTAGGAGACATGACTATTACAATTAAGGTACTGTAATGTTTACATATATGAATTATTACATTTATAGGTATGTAGTTAATGTCATCATTCAATTCAATTGGGTATATTTTGTTCTGTATAGGACCCTACAGCAATTGTTGAGGCTAGTATTCATCGGAAAGTCATAGCTGATGCAGAAATAGGGAAGAACATCCGACTTGGTTCATTTTTAGTTCTAAAAGATGTACGTTACTGTAAGTATAAGATTTATCAACAAGAGTCCCATATATGGTTCATTCATACCATTTCTATTTGTTCACAGGTTGCCATATTTTGCCCAAATCAGTGGAAATGCTATATGAATATAACATTGTATAATATTGTCAAGGTATATGAACTTCATAGCATATTGTCATTCTATAATTGTGATGTCTTCTAAGTCAAGTTACACCTTACTTAGGTCTTTCCAAGCAACATTGGATGTCCAACTGAAGAACTAGTACGTCATACTGAACCAATAATATGCCCTACCCCAATAGGAGGTATGTGTATTTTTCTACACATAGTTATTAAGTTATGTCATCGAAAAATCCCTTGCAAATATTATATTAATTTGTTATTCTTTATTTTCCAGATACAATTTTGCTTCAACGGTTGGACCAAATATTCAAGGACAAAGGACACTAAATCTAACAACTTTGAAGTTAAAATATTGAATTACTTTAGTTTGTTTATGTTATGTTATGTTTATGTATGACCGGATACATGAATTATATTGGCAAAGTATGACATTCGTGTAGTAGGCGAAAATGTCAACATTGTAGAAGGAAACATTGATTGTCATACTAGGAGACTATTTACTGGGAAACATGTTACTTTGGAAATGATTTTTAATGAACTTGTTAAACGTCAAAATGATAAGGATGTTGATGACTTTTGTAGGTTGTACATACTTTTAGGTTTGTCAGAGTTTTTATTCCCTAATAAAGTAGGTAACGCACATTGTGGATTTTTTAAGTTAATAGATAATATATCTTGTCTTGGAAAGTATAATTGGGGAAAAGCAGTGTATGAATATCTGGTTGGAAGTTTATGTGAAGCATCGATTTATTTGAAGAAACGAAGAAATTGTTCACACTTCCGTGTACTAGGATGTGTGTTTTTGTTACAGGTAAATCTTAAATTACGATATATTTTTTGTTAGAATACTTTCAATATAGTCAGCTGATTTGATATTGTGCATTTTGTTTATATGAATTCAAGTATGGGTTATGGAGCATGTACTTTATAATACCAAATCATGTAATGAGATAAGTCGATTTCCGAGATTTTACAATGGACCTCTGTTGTAATTGGGGAAAGCAAGATTGTAGTTGCGTTTAATCATAATAGGGTTAGTTCATTAAAAATTTAGTAGAACTTGTTTGCAATATTACTTTACCATATGTCAAAATGTGATTTCAATTTGACATTGTTTGTTACTCATAGGTTATTCATGACTTGTGCGTCAGAAATGAAGCTTGCTCATGATATAGTGAAAGAAGCATTAGGACATACCACTTATGCATCTGAAGAAGTGAAAAATTTTACTAATATGTTGTGTGGAATTATTGCTGAGAATCAAAGGTTGATCGCCGTAACCAAACAACAGGAATCAACAATTAAAAAACTAGAGGAAGATGTAACACAATTACAGGAATTGTAACACAATTATAAAAGTTTTATGGTCAAAACACCATGGACGACTAATTCAAGGAAAATAAAAAAGACGACATAAGTGTTGTGTAGATGAATTATTTTGTTAGGTTTTTTTGTAATTGTAATTTAATTTGATGCAGACCTTTATGATGTAATTTTTGTGGCCTGTGATAATGTTATATTGTACATTACTTTTTATCTCATAGTGATAGCATTGTATCTTCCTCCGATGTGTTGTTCGACTGATCATGTATGTTTATGTGCATTTAATGATATATAGTCAAGTGGTTAAGCATTGTAGACCCCAAATCTTGCCCGGCCTCCAAATAAAGAGTAGAAGACCTCCTATTCGAAGATGGATGAAGCCTAAAAAGCCACTAGGAGAGACTATTAGGCCCCATACTAGGATAGGAGGGATTTTCTGCACAAAAAATAAGTTTTCTCGCCTTTTTGGGACGAGACCATCGTCTCGAAATCGAGACCGTCGTCTCGCCTCACGCAAATGGCGAGACCGCCGTCTCACCAAACGAGACGGCGGTCTCATTTGGCGAGACGGCGGTCTCGCCACTTTGGCATGACGAGACGGCGGTCTCGTTTGGCGAGACGGCGGTCTCGACCCTATTAGACGAGAACGGCGGTCTCGCCACTGCTAGGCGCGAAAACCTATAAATAGGGGTCCTCCCCCCCTCATTTCCACACACCACAAGCTTTAGCTCTCCCTTCTCTCTAAAAACTTCTCTCTAGAATCCCTCTGACGCATTTCCGGAGCTTCTGAGTGCTTTTGTGAGCGTTTTTCGGCGTCTAGAAGAGTTTTCAGCGTCGTGTAGAGTGAAGGGCTGCCAAAAAGCACCCATTTCTTTTAAAGAAATAAAATAAAAAGCTTGCTTCGGAGGTTTAAATTCTCCCTCTCTATCTTTTACTGCTTTAAATTCTAAATTATGCAATAGATTAGGGCCATGTAGTCATAATTTTAAATTCCGCAAAATAAAAAGGGCAAAAGCGTAATTTTCATCAGTTTAAATATTTTTAAATAGCTAGCCTGTCATAGGGAACCCGAAAGGGGCGTCGTAAAGGGACTAATACTCCCTTTACACGTAACTAACTCCCTTACCCAACTCTGGTTCTAATGACCAAAGTTGGTTTTTGAAAACCAACGCCTTTTAAAACCTCTTTTCCGATGTTTCTGGTAAAAACATCGGTGGCGACTCCACAGAACCCCACAAAACTAGTCCTTGGGTTAGCCCGGTTATCGGACAACCCAAGGACGCCCTTTCGAAAACCTCGCCCCTAGGTTAGCCCGGTTATCGGACAACCTAAAGGCGTTGTAACCACCCATAAAAAACGCAAAAATCAAAAAGGGTCGAAACCATCGCGTCGCTCCGACCGCCTCCTTTTTTAGACGGCGGCGACAAGCATATAATGTGGGCTATACAAATTTAGCATATAATTAACACAAAAATGTCATGTTCAGTTAAGCACATAAAGTTGAGGTGGTCAGCAGATATATGTTCATCATTTCAATTATTTGATGTACATATACACCAAATTTGTTTCATGCAAATTTTAGTTTTAATTTGTCAAATTTTGAATTGTTTTCTATAATTCTGTGAATATATATTGTATGCAGGCTGGATTTTGTTAGATTAATTTGAAATATACCCTGAAATTGTGGTGTATCAGGTACAAATTAGAAGAAAAAAAAATTGGAATTTCAAAATTTAAATAATTTTTTTTTAAAATTGGGACTTTAGATAGCGGTTCCCAGAACGAAAAGCTATTAAAAGTATCTTTTAGATAGCGGTTAACTTGGAACCGCTGTTATATGTTCACTTTTAAGAGCGGTAGTTAACATATATGATAGCGGTTCCACTTTAACTGCTCTTAAAAGTGAATCAAGCGAAATACAACCCGATCAAAGTGTCGCTCAAGCGAAATACAACTCGAGAATCCCAATTTTTTGCAAATGGTGTCGCTCGAGCGATGTCAATTTCGCTTGAGCGAATGTTGACCTGGGGCTAAACGTCGATCAAAGTTAGCCGCATAATGTAACATGGGTGACCACATGTTTGAATCGGATATCGCTCGAGCGATAATATTGGCGCTCAAGCGAAACACAACCCGAGAATCCCCAATCTTAGCAGGTGGCGTCGCTCGAGCGATGTGAATTTCGCTTGAGCGATATTAGAAAAATCAGATAAAATGATCAATTATTTTAGGTTATAATCGATTATACATTATGATGATCGATTATAAGTGGTATATGATCGGTTATATTTTGCTAATTAAGTCAAATCCGTTATTAACAAAGTATTAGGTGTCAAGGACCTTTGGGGCTATCACCTCCTTCGTGGTCATAGTTTGGGTACTTGAAGAAGTCGCTTCTGAGTGGGTGCGTTTGGAGCTTTTTCTTTTGCCAGCCATGGTTTATGTTTACGACTATTGAGATAGTCAACAGTGAACAAAAACAGAGAATAGAGAATCTGCGAGTAATTAGAAAGCAAAGAATACATTAACCTCGATGGTTGTTGTATGCTTCTTCTTTACAATGCAAACGAA